AAGAGTAGTTGCTTTTCTATCTGCTATCTTTAGGGAGAGAAGCGACCTAGCGAAAAAAGTTCCTACGAAATATTAAAATTATCAGCTCACTCTCTCTAGCGTTAGTAGGCTTCAAACATATAGCACAACGATGAACAAACCCATCAGTTGATTTGGTATAGCTTTTTAAAGTCATGATACCACCGCACAAAAAATTTCGAAAGGAAGAAAAACCATAATTAGTGAAAAATATACTGATTATGATTGTGAATTATAAGTAATGAGCAAGAAACCTTTCAGCAAATAGATGTTTAGTTTACATTACAGCAACTTCAATACACTGAACTGATGTATCTAAATGTAAAGCTAACATATCAAAAAACCCCGCCAATGAGATTTATTGTAAACAAGATGAAGTATAGAAAAAATAGTCCGCCTTGTATAAAATAATAATATAAACAATAAATGGAAATCAATACTCTGTAAGACGACGATAGAAAAAGAAAAAAAAAGAAAAATAGGTGTTTTGGTTACATCTCAATTATAAACAAATCTTGTTTTGCAGTGTTTCTTTGAGAAATTCTGTCTTAGTAAAAAGGAACCAGTTTTAGAGATTTTATGATTTTATCATGATAATAATAGTTGATTATCTTGTGTCATTTGAAGTTGATCACTGTTATTTCACTTCAGTACTGTTGTCAAAGTGATAACATGAGATGATGGTATGTTTAAATTCTGTCATTTTCTTCTGTATATTTGATAGTAAGTAATAACAAACCTGTCGTTGTTCATTAGTTATTTCCATTTCTGTTATTTTTAGAAAACAAAGTGTTAAACATATCACGACATCATTGTAATTAACTGTTTTGTTTTGACTCAGTCAAAATGTTCAGGCGTCTTGGAGTGAATTTTTAAATTTCATTTAGCCAGACACGCTAGACAGAGAGATGGCTGGTAAGAAATGTAACGAAAAAAAATCTTTGAAAAATCCCTCCGGAACAACTAATCACAATATTTATGCTTATTTGGATGTTTCAACTGACGTTGTACTTATTATCTGTTTTTCTCCTAGATGGCATATCATTATTCTGATATTTGCATATCATTTTTTGGTTGACTTGATCCTTATCATTTTTCCTTGTTCCTGTTTAATCTCTTATTTTAATGCTTCTCTTCTTGACACATTGTTAATGTGTTGTTTAACGATGTGAGTTTGTTTGGGTGAATCAATGTTCTTCTGACCCCAGACTGTTTGTGGGAATTGTTGGTGTGTGAATCTTGTGAATAATGTTTTGATCATATCATGTTGGGAATACTGTACTTGATTTTAATGTACTTCTCACGGTTGAAGTTCGGTCAACTAATTTTGTTCTGTAGTACTTGCTCTGTATAGCTGTCTAGCTGCGCTGTTCAGATAATTTTGAAATTTTGATATTGTTATCGTTGGACAGAACCACACATTGATTCCAACTATAGGCAGTCGTCTTTTTGCTGTCTTTGGAGAGTTTTGTGACTGTATATGCCTCAAGGATGTTGTGTTAGTACGGTGGGACGCAAAGATAGGTTTCCTGCATTCTGATCTTAATAAAAAGTTTATCTAAAGTTAATAGTCTAATTAACAGTTGTGGTTTGCATTCCATCTTGCAAGTGAATTGACAGTCATATAATTATTCATTTAACTTGTTGACATTTAAAAGCCAAACAGTTAATCGATCGCTTAAAATTTATGATGTCAACTGTTAACGCTTATTACCAGACAAAAATGTTGAAAAAATTCGAATCACAATAAAGTGAAAGATGACGCTCAAGGTGTGTTTAAAAGCAACATGAGTTAACAATTTTTGGTAATATTTCCAAGCATATTTAACTATCACTCTACAATCATGTATAAATATTTACAAACACTTTTTTTTATCTTTCTTCAATCCTAATTGTGAGGCGGATCACATAAACGGACTGTAAGTCACGTACATCAATCTGGTCTCTTCTAAGTATAAATCGATACGAAAGGCGACAATGTGAGGTGTATTTCATAGACGTTATTTTTAGGCTTCACAAAATAAAAGATCACTTTTTTCGGCGTTATCCATTCAATACAATATATCAGTGCTGATGACTACAAAATCAAAAAGAAAAAATTTAATGCATCAGCTTCAGAGAAGGTTACTTTTTTCCATCACAAAGAGCTATTCATTTTGCTAATTATATGATAAGTAGTGATTTTCATACCGATCACTATCTTTATCACATAGAACGTGGGCCACATAGGGTATCACTGTGTTTTTGAACTTTGTTTTATAATGACTTATAGTCCTACCTGATGAGATGCGAAGACAGAGTTTTGAATAGAGAGGGTGTTGAGAGTCCGACAGGATGGATTTAGATCATTTTTTGCATGAGTTCATTTGTCTGGTGACTACAGTAGTAATAAGCTGACTTAGTAGTACACTACTTGCCCTACGGACAAGCTTTAAAACTCTTCACTGTGTCACAAGTTCTGTTCCAGAATAAAACAAACCACTATTATTATAGGTTGGATGATTTTATCATGAGCTGACATAAGTTACAGAACCACTGGAAAACCTGGGAGTACTGGACAGCTGTTTCATCCTAGCTCGGGACTCCTCAGCATTACGCACCCACTGGGGTTTGAACACAGGATCTTACGGTTGCAAGGCGAGCTCGCTCGTAGACCATTAAGCCAATGAAACTTGATCCAATGGCTAATGAATTCTAACTTCTACCAATTTACGACACAGCGCGACCACTGCGCAATGTCTTCTTTGATGAATAACCGTCCTCACCTTCAACCTATTATTATGATAGAAGTGAAATAATGGAGAAGATTCGTAGCTTAGGTGGATGATATTGAATTGTGTTCTCAGAGCTGATTGATTTAATTGCGAAGTTTTCGCCATCCTTCTAAAGACTTATATTAACAAACAGTTACGACAGTGGCTGCCAAGACATACAATTACATCATTCATGGAGAATTTAAATAAATCCGTTTTATACTGAAACTTGCACTGAAGATATTGTCAAGAAGAACGACGAGAGCTTCCCAATTAAAATCGACTATCTCAGAGAACACAACTAATTCAGAAGTGAAATAGTCCAGAAGTGTTGGCAATAACTCATTCATATTCATTCCACCATAGAAATACTGAGAACATTCAAGTCGCTTCTTTAATGACTCCCCCTATCACGCATGTCTGTTTCCTGTATAGCATTTTATTTATTTTGTTTTCTTTAGCGAGCCCTTTGTTGCAAAATACCATGCTCATGAGTAGTTTCATGTTGACTTTTGTGTTTTTCCGTCATTGGAGTATCAATAAGACTGGTGAATTTAGTGTAAACAGCATTTATATACTTGAAATGAAATAAATTTGTTGACAAAAATTCATTGTTGACTGATTTTTGACTCCTTAAGTTATCAAGATTAAGTCTAATTAACAAACAGTCAATCATTCCAAGTTATGACAGCTTAAAAGTTTGTTATCATTCAATTTTAATGTATCAAGAATTTCAGCCAAGAAACCTACAACTGTGTTCATAGCTTAGACTGACAGTTACAGACTTCATGGACTAATATCATACTTTCATCGAACAAACCATACGTCTGTACAATTCAATCCTAATTCATCAACTGAGAAGATACTCCAAGATGTGCAAGATTATACAATGAAGATTGACAACATAGTCAACAGTGTATCTCATGGGATCATCGAGACTGCCGAGTCCACACCACGTGATTTAGCTGTCTGAGAAGGCATGCTTGTTATCAAAAGACAAAGTCGCACAAAGCAGAATTAACAACTCCCAAAAATACTCGTTTGTTTGTTCGTTTATTTTATATTTGAACTGAAGAATATATTTATAACATGATCTGTTATATCAGTCGTAAAAAGATATCCAGAGAAAGAAAAAAAGAGAAGAAAATGCATCATAGTAAACAATTTATAATGTTAATATCATCAATGGTCAATTATTTGTTCAATGTTTCAATACGACAGTAGCGGAGTAAAAAAAATCCAACAATATATGTGAACACATCATTTCAATTTTTCGTCTAGTCAATGACTTTAAATACTGGTAGCTTTTTTGAATAGAAAATAGACGTGCAGACACAGATATAGCTACGTCCATAGTTATAGTGATGAAAGCGAGAATTGTGTTTATTAATAAAATTGCGATGGTGTTTACTTGGAAACGGAAATTACTGATTTAAATAAAACGACCGTTAGAAAGGGCAGGTGAATGAGAGAAATTAAAGTTTTTATTTAAAAACGTTGTGGAAACATTTTAAATTATTGAAATGAACTATACCTTTTTTTACTTTACAATTTGAAATAAATGTTTAAAGCTGTTCATATGATGGGCTGAAAATATGGGATTGTAAATTTGAAAGAAAAGGCGATGACTGATATAATACATAAAATGAATATATACTTACACAAAAATTGGGAAAAAATATTTATAAGCCTATTTTTCCATAGGGAATGATCGATGAAGTGTAAATCTGGGAACTAGAAAGTTGGTGGTGGGAGGAGTAGATTACTGATGAATGTCTTATATTTTCAGACAGTTTCACAAGAAGGTTTCGTAGCGTTTATTAACTGTTGACTACGCTTACAATAATATCAATTTCTCAGTTTCCATTCACGCCTTCTTATTACGACTGTTTCAACACCTTTATGAAGGCTGTTTGCAGTGCTCTTAAGAGGTAAAATGTGAAGAGTAAAGTAGGAGGGAAATTAAATAAAAATAGTGACGAAATGAATTAATTGATCGAATAATTAACCAATTAATGAGCACGATGACATTTGTGGTGACTTCAGAATAAGAAGAATATTGATTTTTTTAAAAAGAGACCAAGCATAAACAGCGAACATCACAGTTTCATGGATAAAGGTATACACATACACGTACAAACCAGAGACGAAATAGACAACAGTTACTAAACTGTAATGTTTCATGGATAATGCATTAAACAGGGAGGTTTTTTCTTTCTGTGTAACTAATTAATGACCAGTACTGCCAGATGTCGTTGAGGCATTCATATCACTATTATGACCACTTGAACGTTTATTGATACGATCTTTCTCTGTTGCTGATAAGTTAGGCTTGTTGTACTTCAACCATGGAAGATGTTCGTTGAAAATCTAGTGAATTAAAAATGATTAGAAAAACAAGTTGATTAAAAAAATGTCTTTAGAAATAAAAGAAAATAAAACTGTTTATAAAAATTAGATTAGATAATTTTCTTTTAGTCTTAATTAATGTACAGTTTAAAAGTAATGTTAAAAATTAAACCATTAATTTTATCACATGATCTTGAGAACCACAGAAGACCAGGAAGTACTGAAAAGTGGTCTCATCCCAAATTTGAGCTCTTCACCAGTGCATACCCATGGTTCCCCCATGGTTCAGATCCAAGAAATCAAAGTTATGGCTTATAACTGCAACTCGGTTGGAGCTCAGTGATCCATGTTTTCTTAACTATGATAATTGTGGCGCTATAGTTAGAGAAGATATAAATTATGCGATAGTGAATTTTGACTTACTAGCTGAATAGTAACGTGAAATAAAAGAGAATATTTGTAGCTCAGAGAACACAACTAACTGAATAGTAACGTGCCTGTTTCACGACCTGAGTGTTCTGGGCTTGAACCCTGATGAAACCAAATGTGAAGAGCACTGGAGAACCCTAAACCAAAGTAAAACCAATGTCTAGTAACCAATGCTTTTCAGTGGTTCTGTGGCTGGTATCAGTTTGTAACGAAATTTATTTTGAAATGAGTCATACGCCTACAACATCTGAGAGATTCTTGAATGCTGCGAATGGTCTAATCGTTTATAAGACACTGATCACTACAGTGTTTGAGATACTCTTATTATACTGAGCAATAGAAAGTTTTTATATTCACTCTCAATTCATGAATAAGGCCATATAGGTAAATATAACCGAAACTGTGGTGTTTCAGTATAAAGTTTTTCAGAAAGAGAAAGTTGGAGGATAAGGTTAGTGTGATCTTGACGCTAATAATAACTTTAATAAAGCTAATAGAAGCCACTTAGACACACCAGTACCACAATTTATCAACATCCAATTGATTCCATCGGTATGAACTGTCTGTTTGGTTATTTGTTGGAGTTGAAGTATTCATTCAAACAGCTGATATTTATTATGTCAGAGCTTTGAATCATATTATTATTATTTTTAGTCACTTGTAATTTCTATAATCTCCAGTGTTATTTCAATATTTAGAGTTATGAAATATTTCTTCGTGTAAACGCAACAAGTACTCGTGTTCTTTAAACATTCAAAATGTCTGCGAAGTTCACAAAACTTGCGTTTGCCAAGTATTTAAAATAATATCAAGGTAATCTTCAGTTTGAACCGTGCAATTTCATGTTTCTTTTTGGTCTGGTTATGTGACGCCTGATATTTTGAGTCAGCATATATCTGTTTGCATTCTTTTGGTTTACTTTGCATAGTCGAATTTTAAAATAATGTTTTTTTTCAGAAGGTATAAAAGTAGAATTGAATAAACCTGATCGATAGGTTTCTATCAGCACACCTAGAAATGATTATCTATATTGGTTAGCGTTAAATATCTAGTGATCAACTGTCATCCAGCCTTATTTATTATTTCCAAGAAAAATATCTGACTGTGATACTAAATGGTGCTAGTTTGAATCTCTTATGGAGCATGATCATTTCCGCTATTGCGACTTTGTCTTGCTGATGATTAGCAACGATTTATATATATATATATATATATATAACCGTTAGTCAGACCTATCTGCCTGGCGGTCTTCTCTTTAGGTAGCAATAATAATTCAATGAAGTAGCTCCATCAAGTACAAGACAGTTTGTCATCAGTTCTATTGTAACAACAGAAGACAAGGGCCAGGCAACAGATCGTTTTATTATGAAAATCAACACGTATTTATACATATTTCAACTACATTATTATAGACAAGCGCAGTCATCTGATTGGTTGTTTAGGTAGACAAACGCAGGCTTCTGATTGGTTGTTTCGGGATTCCTTGACAAATAGAGTTCTCTCTGCGAATCATACTTTGCCACGTTAACTTTGCTGTGATTGGTTGTTGACTCAGGCTTGTTCACGGCCCATATTAGTGACCTAGACCTTAACGTAGATTAGTGCCAACCAATCGGCTAGCAGCCTGCTCTCACCACACTATATGTCAATGCTGCCTTGGGATCACTAACGCGTTAATTTGCCTGATATCAACCAAAAGTTCGTCATATGTCTCTATGTGAACATATTCTGGAATAAAGAAGAGTTGACTGACTTGATGATGACTTCATTTATTTCACATCTACCTACCAACCGACTGACTCTCTGAATCCCTTGAAGTCACTTTATCGGTGCAGATTCTATACAGATATCATATGCAGTATTGAACAGATTGTCACTACCTTCCTTAGTGAGCGATATTAAGTGAATCAGAATTATCTGAGTAAAAACTCAGTCGTGATCAATCCAAGGTATAATACTGATTCATGCAACCTATTACTCTCAGTCGTAGAAGCATAAGCAGATTTAGATACTTTTACCAAAATGCAAAGGATCGCCATTTAAAAATGTTTCATCATATAGTTTTAAATCGATCACAGTGGCACATATGTACTTGCGCTACATGCTGTTTGGAAGCTGAGTCGTTTCTGCTGGACTTTCTTGAGTATTCTTTCTCCTTTCTCACCGTCTTTTGCTTATTGTAGTGTTGTTCACTTTCATTTCATATTATTAATGAAATGCTGTTGAAAAATAAGGTGAATTAAGCCGATGAACTTCTCTCCAAGATTTCATATTGCTCTATGTGTCAGTCGATAAATAACACTGATAAGTCAAATCTCAAATTCATATGTGGATCAAATTTTTATTAGATTGAAAACTCTATCTAATTGTCCTGTAAAGGTACTTGTGAATGATATGGTTGTTTCAATCATAGACATATACCAGCTACATTGGTGTATCATTTTGTCTAGATTCATAAAGAAGTTAATTAAAAAGGACGAAGTATCTGAATAATCACAGTTTAAACTATCTAAGGAGGAGCCCCTAATTGACAAACTAGTTTTATTATAAATCAGTGATGAATGATCTGATCTAGGTTACAACTTCGGTTTCGTAGTACAGTCTAAAAGAGATTAAGTTAAAGCATGTTAAAGTCTAATGGTACTTTTTTCAAATAGTGATATTACTTTCGACTAATGACAACATATGATGAGATGTTGTCAAAGAAGTCTTGCAATCTGTAACTCCATTGATCAAATTATGTTCATTCATTTGCCTCCAGTAATCAAAGATATCACAAAAGAGCATATAGTTCAGGTTTTACGATGACAATGTCCATCATATCTTTTCAGTTAACATAGTAGAAAGTAATTACAAGAAAATTCTAAACTGACAGCATTTTTTTAAACCAATAATTTCCTCCCTAAATGACTGTAGGTGGATAGAGGATTACAATCAGGGAGAAATGAAGAGCTGTTATTTGCTGGTATGAAAACTTTCGCTCATGAGAACAAACGACATCAAAAGTGGATCTGATCGAAGCTAACCTTGAAGTCACTTAAATCATCATCTAGTAACCAACATCCTGACTGTAATTTTTTAATTAAGATGGTTCCTACCCCAACCCATCGCTAAAGAGTTTTAAAATAGGCCATAATAACAGTTGAATTTCATGTCATGATGATCATTTTCTTCAAAATTAACAATTTCTTTCTTTCAGAAGGCTAAATGGCAAAGCACACATCCGACTGGATTCAAGTTAACGCCCTAATTTATCTGTGTCATTCATTAGAAAAGAAATAATTTATTTAGATTATTCGTATTTTACACTGATGAAAACAAACGCCATCCACCCATAATTCAGTTAGCAAAATCGATAGAATTGTCGACTATCTAATTCACTGGAATAATTAGTCTATTAAATTATTGATTAGTTATAGCTAACTTTATATTAAAAACTTTATATTATTATTATTAGTGTCTATTTTGTACCAAACCCATACCACCTAGACATTTGTTTATACACGAGAACTCATAAAGAAAGTTGACTTATAGGCATAGAGAAATCCTGGAAACCTAGTAAACATTTCTTTCCAGCCGAATTATAGGATAAACAATTAACTTCAGACTTCATTTTTTGAAGTTTCAAAAAGAATCAATTTATGAAGTCAGTAAGACTGAATTTGCAGACAGATATACGTAAATGGCCCTGGATGATGGCTGCGATATTCCGTGAGTGTGTGCATATAAAGTGTTTGCTTTGCAGACTAACAGTCTCACACTCTTGATACTACAAATAATCGAACTGAGTTACACAGAAATGTCATGCAGTTTTCATTGATCTAATAAACATTTTTTAATACAGTCAGCGTATTTCTCATAACCCTCAAAAGCATTATCTTGCTCAGTAAATATCACACAAAATTTGATAAATGCCAGAATTTCAGTACATCACTTACAACTAGGTCTTCCACTGCGGTGTATATTTGGCTAGCTGCCTAATATTATATTATATACATCTGAAGAATCACTATGTTTAGAGAAGTATTTATACAATACACAGTTATCTACACTGAGTATATGCAAACATAATTTATCCTTTACAAGCTATTAAGTGATTTTATTAGAGAGAGAGAGAGTTCGTTGGTGTTGAGACAAGAGGAGACATATTATGACTTGGTTTTCACCTGACCTATAGGCTAGACAAATGACGTTTACGTAGACTAAGGGTCACATCATTGAATTCTTAGCGGTGCATACCACCCTGTCAAAACATAGTTTTTTTTCTAGAGAAATTTCTTATCCTAATGATTTATTGGTCAGGTAAAATAACCCTGTAATCAGTTGTTAACTATAGTGATATTAGTCTTTTTAAAAGAGAGAAATAAATCTGCCTCCTCAGTTTTTCTCAGTGTAGAAGTAGTATTCGAGTGATCAGTTGTATGTTCTTGTTGTTTTGTTGAAGTAACAGTAGAACAAACCCCTAATCCAATATTAACCATAGTTATAATATCAGCCGAGAAGCAACTGAATTCAGAGTAATTATATATTCAGAAATCTACATTAGTTAAGAAACAATTGAGAGCCAAAAAGGTTGTTTAATTTCGGGCATT